CATCACCGAATGCTGGCACAACATGTCGCGCGCTTCCTTCGATTAACTGCCCGATCAGCCGTCCATGCACCTATAGTGCGTATTGCCGATTTCGCTCACGTGTTGTGATCTTCCTGGTGATCTCGCACTGTCTCTTTCTTCGCGCACCTTCATCATTTATCCCTCTATCTTTTTTTTTCTTCCAAGCGCAGGTTGTGAACTGGATATTGCGATCTGCTAAGCTTTCTTGCATTCTCCTTCCTCACAGCGCCATGCGACACTCGTGTTTGGTATAACTGTCAGTTTAAGCGCACAGCGACAGTTATACCATGCATATCCAACTAGCCCAACTTTCGTGTTCTGATTGATGGCAGGTAGACCCGCACTCGTAGGCTGAGGCGGGCAGCTTCAGTGAAAGAGGAAAACAGAGTTACGTGCAGCGAGTGAACGCATGTTCCATTCGTAGCGTCTGCACTTCCCGTCTGCCCCGACGGGAAGCGACTCATTGTAATCACGAACCTGATATTCTAACCAGTTACTAAATAAAAAGGAACGAATCAATTTGTTTATGGTTTATAACGTACGCGTACGGGAGAAGGTGGGAACAAACAGGTACCCGCTAGCGGTATATGTCATGCAATGCGGCAATGACGTTTCACATGCTGGGCGGGGTACCAACAAACGTGCCGGTATTTGGGCATTCAGAATGGAGGGCGACGGGATGTGAACGAGGCGCAGGATGTTTGCTCTGTGTGTAAACAACAACAGTTCGATACACACAATACTGAGCTCTCGTTCTTCAACATCAACATGTATGGGAGCATATGTATATACATAGGACACATGTACACACGTTGAAATACAGCAAGGTGCACAGTATTGAGCTAATGCTCCGTTTCGTTCGTGTAGTTAATGTCGCAGGTTCAGCTGAATCGTTCTTTTTCTTTTTGAATTCTAAACGGGAGCTATGGTCGACGAACGCGCTCTATTCTTATCTCACACAATAAACGAATGTTTAAGCCAAGTCTGGTAAAATGTCGAAGGTTTCTTTTCCAGTATGTACGATTAAGGTTTTGCCAACGTTGATTTAAAGTTCGGTGAATAGGAAACGCGCTACCAAGACCAAAAAAATGTGATTCCCTTTCTTCGCCCCAGTCGCGCAGTTTTGACCATATGTGCATAAAGCTGTGTGTTTGTTTACGGCGTGGCAATTGAACGTGTCGTCAGTCAGTGCTAGTGCAAAAAATGATGCCGCCATTACTTTGAGCCGAGCGTAAGGCTTTAAGGTGAGTCGATATTTCCTCGTATTGCGCTCACAATGTTTCTCACAAATTTATTTAGCGCCAGCGCTAGGAATAGACACGTTCGTTCATGATCGGCTGGATATTTTTTTCTTTGAAAGGCGTGGCAGCCACTTGTGATATTTTCACGCAGCTGGCAACTGTTTGTCGCCTAGCCACCCTGAGCGTGCACTTTGCTCTAAGAGCGTGTTCTGTAGCTTTCTGAGTTGCTCGCTTTTTGCTGGAAAGTTGATGCAGCGACCACATATTTTAGTCGCCCGTCTCGCGCGTTACTTAAAGCTAACTGAACAAGTGTTTACTCCCGGGAAATTTTGAAAAGTTCTCTCCAACAAACTACCACACCGAGAAGGTGAAGCTGCTAAAAGATTGACTTCTTTACGCAGCGAAGCAGCACTGTAAAACTTAATCACTGGGCCCGAAGTGCGGAGGTTGTGCACTCAAGCATGTCAAGGAGGTATGACGCAGGTAACTTCCATTCAGCAGGTACAAGTTGCTGCTGCTGCAATAGTTTGTTTCGAATACAAGCATCTCGCAGCCATCTCGGTCGCTTTAAATGCCATAACCAGGCGAAATTAAAGCGATATTTTGTGAAAAGTCTTTAGCAAACGTGCTACCCCATGCAGTGGCCCCAAATAAGCTCGCGTTTTTTCGCTAGCACCCTGCCTGTAATTAGTGTTCAGGGCCGTCTAAACAGACAAGGTAGATAGATGTCCTGCTCTATAACCGCAGTCACTGAATGATCTTTCCAGCTCTCCATCGCGTGGATATTTCGACCAAAGCAGCTGAGAAATACACAAACACAGCACTCAAGCAGCATCGAGTACAACGCCACACTTCTACGAAAGGGGAAACACACGCCATACCACGGGCATCTGTCTGGGCTGGGATAATGTTGGCGACAGCAGAAAGACGAAACACCACTCGTTCGGTTTGCAACGTTGTCTTCCACAAACGACACAACGCTTCGGAACGTGCGACGTAACACCTAACCAATCTTCAAAATATGCTTCATCTACTTACCATACATGCATCGTGCGTGAGAACTGAATCACATTGCTATGCTTCAAGAACACAGTGATCAAATCAGGCATGTTTCGTCTGTTTTTTAACGGTGTAGCCAGAAGCCACATACGGCGGCATTTAGGTGAGTCATATATTGTAGGCTTCTTCTAAGCCGTTGTAGAGAATTCATCATCATCATCCCGACTATGCTTACTGCTAGGCAAATGCCTCTCCCATGATACGCCAATCAACCCGGTCTTGTGATTTCTGTTGCCGCGCTATACCTGCGAACTTCTTAATCTCATTGGCCCACCTAACTTTATGTCTCTTCCTCACCCACTTTCCTTCTTTTAGAGTCATGTCAGTTGCCCTAATGACTAGCGGTTATCCTGCCTAAGCGCTACATGCCCGGCGCATGTCAATTTCTTCTTCGCGATTTCAATTATGATATCCTTAACCCCGGTTTGTTCCTTGACCCACTATGCTCTCTTCTTGTCTCTTAAGGTTACACCTATCATCTTCCTTTCCATCGCTCGCTGCGTCGTCCTCACTTCAAGCTGAACCCTCTTCATAAGCCTCCAGGTTTTTTTACCCGTAGGTAAGTACCGGCAAGATGCATGCAGCTGTTATACACCTTACTCTTTCGGGTTAGTGGTAGATTACCATTCGTGATTTGATAAATGTTTGGCGAATGTGATCTACCCCATCCTTATTGTTCTGGTTATTTTACTTTCATGTTTTGGCTCCGTGGTTACTACCTGTCATACGTGGGGAATCAATATTGCTAAATCATCATGGTTGTCTAAATTCAACACTCTTGACGCGTGCTGCGTGCGGTTAACATGAATGGCATAATTGACTTGAGCCAATAGGTGGCTGCGAAATAGTGATACTGGTGCCCACCACCGGAATATCTACTCGGTGAATTGAACAAAGTAATGGCACCTGCAAGCAGCTTCATTTCAACCGCTGGCAATTGCTGTGATCCTCACACAGCACAGCACAGTGATGCAAGAAGCGAGATGTGTAGAAGCTCCTATTTTCCTTGATGCATGCGAGCAGTTGCTGAAGACGCAGGAAGTGGAGTGAACTTCCATATCGTCAACCAACACTGTGGATGGTCGTTTTGAAGCCGGTTACCCCTGCTTCGAATTTTAAGAGCTTCAAGTGCGCCATATTTTTTGAGTGAATGTACTACGCCCATCGACGTTTGGAATCGGAGCGTCGACTTGAACGGCGTCAGACGAGTGTCGTCGGGGCGCAACTAAGCAGTTTATTATTATTTTTGTCTCACTTTGAGAAAATTCCCGCATCTTAACCTAGCAAAGGTTAAATTTTTGTGTTTTGAACTCTTTGTGCAGTTTCTTCGCTGTTGTGCACGAAATGAGAAATCAAGCTGGTTTGTTTTCGGATAGATTAGCAAATGTTTCAATTCGATTCACGTGTTTCTTGAGCGAACACTACAGCTGCAGACTTACAGGAAAAAATTGCGCAGTCGTGGCCGAGTGGTTAAAACGATGGACTAGACTTATAGGAAAAAATGGCTGAAAGAGATTTCCCAAACAATCGTGCAGTTATTCTAGCGTTTAGGCAGATAGAATGAAGGTGGAATGTATAATTTGTCTTAGCCGAAACACGGTTTTCTGTGTGGTATCTTCGAAAAACGTCCAATGCTATGTCGTGAACGATATGCAGCCACAAGAGAGTTACTATAGGAGAACCATCAATGCCGATTGAATATAATGATGCCGATATTTCGTACTCTGTCATGGCTTTGAGGCTGTCATGGCTTTGAGCTACTCAAGCTCATTTTCATCGTTGAACTGCTGGACGAGAATAGACATCACGAAATAAACCATTTGCTGAGAACCGATACGTTGACCAAACAAATGCGTAGGTTGATTTTTGCTTAATAGAAATCAGAAGTATAGAAGAGATAACTTCTGACTTTATTAGTAGCACAAAACATGACGTGGGAGGCAAATTAAACGCACTAAATCAGTGACCAATCAAATGTCCGAAGCAACGTTCGTTAACAACCAGCTCGAGAAATCGAATCTTAATATTGCCGTGTAACTTAATGATCGGTTTCTTGAATTACAATATATTTTTCATTAGTCAAATGTACAGCGAATGAAACTGTAGTCGCACAACATGAAAAAAAAAAGCTTTTCAAGCTTTCTTATTTTTGTAGCGGCTTTCTTCCCCCCTACGGTGCTTTCGTCTTGTTTCTCGCGGTATGTCACTCAAATGCCCCATTTTACAATAGTCTGCTGGCGGACTTACCGACCACAGACATATCGCTCTTGCGATCTCGGCGCTGTGCTATCATTTTTATATTTTTATATGCACAGGAAGGGCAAATAAATAACAGCTATACCATTAATGTTCTTTGCGAAATGGTACTAAGGGGAAAGTAACAAAATCCGAAATGTAACTTCGAACATATTTATTAAATAGTTATGGGGATGTACGCAGAAACGTCTTCCGTACTACTATTTTCAACTATAGTCTTCAGACGTTAGAAGTCGCAATTGCTTTCCACACATGCAGAACGCTTCAGTGATAGTCTGTTTCGATGAATACCCGTAAGGAACAATACTAAACAGCTGCTTCTGAATTGGAAATCGTGCTCTTAACAAACACTCTCGATTCGAGAAGCTCAGCGGCCACGTAAGGTCGCCATTTAGGACAAGGAAATCGCGAAGGGCCACTTACGTAAACCTCTTCCCATTGGCTGACGTATCGGACGAGCCTCGACAGCCTGAGTAGCCTTAGTAGGCTGAGCATCTTGGCGAAGCGCAGGATTCGCAGAGCGCGACCTGCGTGCAACAGCTGGAAGCTGTCGCTGTAGTCCTGAATGAAGATGAGGAATATGTAGTCCAGGGGGATCGAGCTGATCAGGTCCAGGAAGAACCAGGTGCGGATGTAGTGGTGCGCGATCAGCTTGGGATCCAGGATCACCTGCTCCGAGTTATCCTGGTGCATGATTCCTGCGCAAGGGACATGCACGCGCTCATGTACAGGCGCTCACGCGTTCGATGAGTGGCGAAGGCTTACCCGTTCGGAAGTTGACGACGATGTCGAGCAGGAAGATGGTGTCCGAGAGGCAGTTGAAGGCTATCCACCGGATCGACAGGTCGTCGTTGAAGAACGAGATTGCCACTGGCAAGACGATCAGGTTCGCCACCAGAAGCAGTAACATGCACAGGTCCCAGTAAAACCTGCGATTGCCCAGATACCTTGTCAAACCGACAATTCCCGACACTTTGCAAGCTGACGGCTTTCACCGGCGTCACTTTGTACACAATACTGGCATTTCGAGACCAGCTGATGCCACTTGATCTGTTTAGTTACATCAATGCTGACGTCATCGCCGTCATAGCACGACAGGCGTGGGTGGTGCTTCTCGTTTACTTTCAACGTGGTGCACGCTGGTATTGAACGCGCAGTCACAAGACAGCTTGCAGTAACAGTTCATGGTGCAACTGCGCAAGAAACGGATGGGAGCAAACAAAGAAGAGGGACGCGCAAACAGGCGCAGTGTTCCTCTTTTGTGTCCCCGTTCGTTTCTTGCGCAGTTACACCACGAACCAGTTCCAACTCGCTCAACGTACCACTACTTTGGAGATCGTGAGTGAATTTATATCATTATTTAGTGCACATATATCAGCCCACTACGATTCCATATTCTCACTAAATCCTGGGTGGATACCATCTAATCGGTCTATGATGTTGATGATTGATTAATATGTGGAGTTTAACGTCTCAAAGCCACCATATGATTATGAGAGACGCCGTAGTGGAGGGCTCCGAAAACGTCGACCACCTGGCGTTCTTTACCGTGCACCCACATCTGAGCACATGGTCCTATAGCATTTTTGCCTCCATCGAAAATGCAGTCGCCACAGCCGGTATTAGATATCGTGACCTACGGGTCAGCAGCCAAGTACTTTAGCCACTAGACCGTTGCGGTGGGGCAGTCTATGATGTTATATTAATTTATGTAGCGCAAGTATATGTGCATAGAAATGGCACTTTTCTTTAGAGGTTGCGACCATTTCAAAATTCATTGAGGAACGGCTGCTGATGTGGCGTATTAGCACAATAGACCTTGCTAATGATGTACTTTTTTGAGTCACGGGGTTGATGCCGAAGGTGGTATTCCTGTCCTTGTGAATCTTTCCAAAACTTGACGTGAAAAATGTGGTACATTAGAGTGGTGAGCCTTACAGATATGCACAGGAAAAAAAACTAATCTATAAACCTTCTTGTCATCGGTCGGTCGTAATCAATTGCGGAACGCTTACCTGAGTATTTCTTCTTTAAAGACTGAGTCCTGCACTGTAATTTGTGAAAATGGTTGATCGGACGAGTTGGAGGTTCTTGATGATTCAATGCGATAATTGAACCACGATAATTGTAATAAGAGTACAAAAACAGATATAAGCAGACAAGGACCGGCGCTGGTCCTAGTCTGCTTTTGTCCCGGTTTTTGTTAACGCGCTCATATTTCAAGTGCTGTAATGTTTAGAAGGAAAGGGCTGATGCCAAGGCTTGATAATCGCAACCCTCAAGTGCGTCTGATATCTCAACTCATATCCGAAAAGCTGTAGAGTTTGAGGCTATAGTTTCCAGCGCAGTGGAGACGTCAAGCAGTAAGAACCTAACGCACGCTTTCTAGACACGAATGATAATAATAAGAATAAAATGGCGGACAGGGTACTTCCAAGGACATCGCCGGCTTTTTCCTGTTCGAGGGACAGAGTCCCTCGGGACTAAATCGACGCTCTAATATGAGGGCAATTTTCGGCTCGTAAATTTTTAAAGGGCGGTGCCCTGTTCTTCACCGGCCGCTTTTTCTGTTGTTTCTTCCTTCCGCTCGGTCGTTATCGTATCGGAGTTCCTTAACGCGTTGCTCTTCTTGTGTGCATATGACATGCGCTTCGTTTTCTGCCTCTTTTTTCTTCTTTTTCAATCTGCTGTATGCGAAAGAACTCCGTGATTGTCCACTTTCTTTCTAATTTCATTTTTTTGCAGACACACGCATCAGGGTATGCTGAGAGATGCGCATATTGAGATATACGTAGCAGCTCCCTTCTAGAAGAGAGAAATCCTTCTGACCGAAGCAACGTATCGATAAAACGTGCTTGGTCAATTTCGAATGCGTTCTCTCTTTTTTTTTCTTTCGTTTGTTTGTATGCGTGTCTTAAACTCGTTCGCAACGGTTTCGACCATCAGCAGCCCTGTCAGATTCAGAGATCGTACGCAAAAGGCATTACGATTTTCCCCGACTCTCGGGAACTATATATTGCAGCGGCAGCTACGCGGTTGTTGTGATCCCATATAACCGACGCCGCGGGCTTCTATATTTCATCGTTATCATCCATGAACCATCCGTCATTTAAGCCCACCGCAGAGACCTCCGAATCGCAGAGGCCCGTCTTGCGTTGCAATGCAATCCATGCCACGCATGCGAACCTTATATTGCGCGAACCACCGTGACAATGACGTAACGTCAAGTTATGGGAAAATGAATGCGTATATTATGCAGGTACGTATAGTTGAAAGTTAGGGTTGTAGATTAAAAGAAATGAGTTGATTGATCGATTTGTGGGGTTTAACATTCCAAAATCACGATATGATTATGAAAGACGCCTTAGTGGAGGGCTCCGGAAATTTCGACCACCTGGTGTTCTATAACAAGAGAAATGAGTTGAGTTGGTAAGCAGGTCATATGCGCAAATGCGTAAAACACGTACCGACTCGACTATTAGAGGAAAAGATGGGTGCTGCCTGCTATAGCCGACGGGTAACCATCTTGAGTCCGTATAAACATGGGCTCTGCGGAGTAGGTAATTGAGTTTGTTTCAGTGACGAAAACAGCAAGCGAAGCAAAACAAGCGCGGGTAATAGAGATAACGGGATGTGGCATATAATAAACGAAATTGATTGCGGTGTTAACCGACCCGGGCTAGCCTATTGGCCAAAAAAAGTGTAATTAGGCAATGGTAACACTCGCAGGAAGATTGCCTCCCGTTTGAATCATGTTTACGGCCTCCGAATAAAGCGGCTCTCATCCAGGATGGCTTCTCGTTCATGGGCTGCTTTAGCGGCGCGTTGTTAGCGGCGCGCATGCATGCTGCTGGTAGGCGAATTGTATTCTGACTGTTCTTGAGTGCAGGTGGCGCTGAGTGAGTAGAGCTCATGCAGCCTTCAGCTGCCAGTTTGGATGCTTATAGCGCTGGCCTGGCACTCGTTTGTCTTGCTCAACGGTCGGACGAGGCCCTTACAGCAATGCAGATTTGTTTCCGACTTCGCTTACTTTTTAAAAATACATATGCTAACAAAAGGCATCTACGAGATTTTCTTTTCCCTGTCTGGACCTCGACGTTATGTTTCCGGGAGCTGCTCCTGAGAGCCATTCCTTGGGCCAAAGTCTGTAGCGCTCGCAGACGTTGGCGTGTGCCGGGACGGCGCTGTCCTTCGCGACGCCGCCTTGCAGCGGCGGTGAACGACTGTCAGGGGCCGCGGGGATTCGCCCCGGTTTTTTTCACAATCCCCGAGAGGATCATGCGATAAAGCGGCGGCTTAGGCAAGGGCCTTGACGGTCGGGAAAAACCCTTCTCGACACGCTGCGCACTGGGGCTGTCGTGCAAATCTTGACGTCTGCCAATATATCCTCCGCTTACGACGTGTTTCTAGCTGCGCATGATTGCAACTTTGGTGTGCTCCGCCTTTGAGATTATCGCATCGCACTTTGTTTCGCGTCTAAATAGCCGACACATAGGCGTATAGTGTGTGACTCCTGCATTGCTCATCTGAGACTGCCTGATGTGCAGCAAATTCTCTCCACAACAGTCTTCCAAGTTGCGTTGTCTCTAATGATCGCTGTAGTAGGGCAAGTTCTCACTCTGCCTGGGAATTGGTTTCTCTTCATACGTGCACCCTTGCAGTAATGACGCCTCCGTATTCTATTTCGGGAAAATTTCTTGCACTGCGAGATCTTTTTTCCCCCGCCTGCTTTGTGAGCAGTCTCTCGAATCTCGACAGGTGGTGATTCGGTGGTCATTTCGTACCACCATAAATTAACGTGCCGAACAGGATGCCGTAACAGTGTTCACCTGTTTATTAATGAATGAATGCATGACAAAGACGTTTATTGAATTCTGGCGTTAGCCTCGACTGGTTGCACATCCAAACGCTCAAACCACAAACATCGAGCGCGAGCGGCGTCCACGAGCAACACCTGGTAGACAGACCCACTAAGTAGCGCCGGAAAAGAGGCTCCACTAGGGTGCCCTGATGAGCATTTTTGGGGGCACGCATCGAAGCACGCATCCACTATAGCGTTATTCTTCGCTGCAGTATAGACTACTAGCATTCGGTGTTTCCCAGTCCACGACTGCTGAATGTTATCTGCCGCCGCTCTGCCAAACATTAGATGCTTTGGCTCGTTGACTAGCCTGTGTAACGCTGTCCCTCCGCGCGTCAGTACGAACTCGCCGCAACGCACTCCCTTCGCCGCAGGTGTTGGAGCGGTGCTAAATAGGTCACGCCGCAGCTGCTCGCTGACGTCACTCTTTCCCTCACCTGCCGCGCGCTCGCCGCAGCGCCCGCAGCTGCCGCCTCGTCCGTTCGCCCGCAATACCTGCCGCTTGCTCCGCTACCGCCTCTCGCTACACCGCCGACTCGTCGGTTCATGCGCAATAAACCTGACGTGCCAGCCATCGCAAGACCTACGCCAGCCATCGCTTGAAACGAATCTTCTAGCGCTCATCGCAGCATCCGGAATTAGCGCCGTTTAAACAGTGACGCCATTCGTGCGCAGCGCTGCTGCTTCGCATACCATCAGGGTTCCCTTTTGAAAGATGGTGTGAGTTTTTTGTTTTTTTTTGGTATGCGTAGTGGAAATGTTTGTTCATTCCTGACGATAGCGCAACGGCGCTGCTCACTTGATAAGTTGGGTTATCATAAACCAACATAATGTTTAACGTGTGGTGGCCATAGAGTTTCCCACAATACTTACTAGAGGGAACCCTGGCGCTAGTGTCTATGGGAGATGCAACGCACGACGCTTCAGCGAGCATGGGAATGATGGGTAGTACACACATTTGTCTAATATTCGTACTTCTGGCCTACTTTTGGCTCCGTGTGTGTTCGTGTGGCTTGAAGCTGTTTTCTTACGAAACAAGTATTAGCAAATGTTCAGCGGTTGCGCTTC